GGGGCAATATGCTGACTCTCTGTAAACTGCTTAGAGAGGGCTGAAAGCCCTATGAAGCGGTATATAAGTCTACTGCTATTGCTATTGCTATTACCTCCAAGGTCCCTTCCAACTCTGTTATTCTATTCTATTCTATTCTATTCTATTCTAATTATGTCTAATACAGTAAACCATTCTTGTCTCATCTTCCAAATTGCAGCTGGCCAAGCGATATGGGAACATCTGTTCTCTGTGGGGAGGCCCTTATCATATCATAATCCTTTCTGGATACCAAGCTGTGAAAGAAGGACTGATTGACCATTCAGAAGCCTTTGCGGATCGCCCGATCACCCCTTTCGTTTTAGCTTCCACTCAAAAAAGGGGTAAGTCATAGCTATAGGAGTCATTGGGTGCTGTCCTGTTAAGATTGGGGTCAAAAATGAATGTGGCCAACAGTCCAAAGTTTGGATTAAAATATCTGGCAGTTTATTCCTTTTCCCAAGGAATAAACCCTCTTTTCTAATCCTTTTATCTGCCCGCAGCTCCAAGATTACCCCTTTGGTATGGTTTTTCCAAATCTCTTGTGAAGCACAGAGTATTGTATCATCTGTTTATCAGATTTTGCAAGACTGCCAAAAGATGAAGGGAGGTGATGGAAGTTCCCATGAGAAGAAGGGCAAATCAAATGTTGTGTTTGTGGCCCGTCGGCTGCCAGCAGAGAAAGCAGCAGAGTCGGATGAATAGGAGGTGGAGAGAGAACTTGGGCAAACTTCGGAGCCTTTGGAAGGCTCTGATAAGGAAACAGCATCAGAGACAGAGACAGGGCCATCTGTCCTCCCCCAGGGAGAGATGTAGATGCCTTCAGGGCCTGAGCTAAGTGAGGGGTAGGAACAGATGGGCCCCAGCCAGAAGTGGTATTCTGCCGATTCTGACCGGTTCACTCAAACCGGTAGCAGAATTCACAGGGGGCCCTGCCCACCCACCCCGGCTCTACGGCATCCCATTTAAGCCCCCTTTTTTGGGGCAAAGTGCATGCGCAGAAGGCGAAGTGCATACATGCGCTCACATTTGCAAACTTGTAGGGAAGACAAGTTAATCTCACCTCTGGGCCCATCCCAGAGGCATGTATGTGTAGGGAGGAGAGGAGAGCAAAGAATCTGGCTGGGAAATAAATAGGAGGAGTTTGAGTGGCTGGTTGTCACAGCCCCAGTGGTAGGTTTCAAAAGTTTTTCGAACCTACTCTGTGGGTGTGGCCTCCTTTGTGGGAGTGGCTTGCCGGCTATGTGTTTTTTTTCTCTCTCTTTTTCTTTCCTTCCTTTTGTCTCTGTCTCTTTTTTCTTTTTTTCTTTCATTTCTCTCTCACTTTTTCTTTCTTTTTTTTCTTCCTTCCTTTCTCTTTCTCTCTCTGTGTGAGTCTGTCTGTGTGTGTGTGTGTCAGTGGTGGGTTTCAAAATTTTTTGGAACCTCTTCTGTAGGTGTGGCCTGCTTTCCGGGTCCACTGGTGGAACCTCTTCTAACTGGTTCGGTAGATTTGACGAACTGGTTCTACCGAATAGGTGCGAACTGGTAGGAACTCACCTCTACACAGTCCCCACAACTTCCGAAGGCAACTTCTGTTCCATGGGTTGATTGTTCTCACTGTCAGAAAGTTCCTCCTTATTTCTAGGTTGAATCTCTTATTGTTCAGTTTCCATCAATTGTTAATAGTGTGGTGACCAAAACTGAATGCAGTACTCTAAGTGTGGTCTTACACTTCATCTTGATCTTGATCTCTGTTAATGCAATTTAGGATTGCATTGGCATTTTTGGCTCTGAGTAGTCATCATGAATTGGTTATGGGAGGCTCAATGAGTACCAAACAATTTTTCCCCCCTAAGAGATAATGTAGGGGAGTCACGAGGAAGCTGACACCAACAGGTTCTAGCTTGTGCATGGCGTACCAAACAAACGAGGAATACCTTGACAAACTTTTCACATCAAAATGCATTGAGTAGCAAATTCGACGAGTTTCTAAGCCACTGAGTCCTGAGATACATTTGGAAGGCTGTCAGTCTGATTAATTTTACATTTTTGTGAATGCTAATATCTCTGTCTGTCTCGGTGATGTCAGGTATTGTCTTTTCAAATGGTCACATCTGGGAGCAGCAAAGACAGTTTGGTATTGTTACCATGAGGAAATTGGGACTGGGGAATAAAGGCATGGAATCGCAGATCCAAGAGGAAGCCCAACAGCTTATGGAATTCTTTGCTGAGACAAAAGGTATGTGACAATCTGAGATGATGTTGGCTTGAGTATAACTGCACAGACAGAATAACGGTGTAAGAGAATAGGAAGGGACCTTGGAGGTCTTCTAATCCAACCCCTGCTCAAGCAGAAGACCCTATACCAGGGGTGTCAAACTCAATTTCATTGAGAGCCGCATCAGCATTATGGTTCCCCTCAAAGGGCCAGCTGCATGTAAAGCTATGACAACTCACAACGGCCAGATGGGCATGGCTGGGTGGGTGTGGCAAGGTGGATATGCTGTGGTGGGCATGGCCAACTCAACAGCGCTCACTGTGTGTGGCTGACTCTGAATGGCTGGGTCGGGATGGAACAAGTCTCACCAGCTAACTCGATGTGGGGACAACCTGGTGCCCCACAACTCCTCGCCACTCCAAATTGCTGGTGACCCCAATTTTTCATAGCTAAGTGAGACATTTGTTAACAGAGTTTCCCCCATTTTACAGCATTTATTGCCATAGTTTTTAAGCGAATCACTGAAGCTGTTAAATTAGTAACATAGTTGTTAAGTAAATCTGGCTTCCTTGTTGACCTTGGTGGTGAGAAGGTTGCAAAAGACGATCATGTGACCTGGGAGACCGCAACCGTCGTAAGTATGAGTCAGTTACCGAGCATCTGAATTTTGATTATGTGGCCATCGGGATGCTGCAATGGTTCTAAGTGCGAAAAATGGTTGTGAGTCACTTATGCTAGAGTTCATGACTTCTCTACTCTCAACAGTAAGTTTAACTTATCTAATAATTATAAGTAAAGATCCTAAATTTTCTTCTTTACATGAAGTCCCCAGGTTAACACCCATTAGTTTAGTGACCATTCAACTTTACAATGGCATTGAAAAAAGTGACTTCTGATTGTTTTTCATACTTATGACCATTGCAGTATCTCCAAGGTTACGTCAGCAAAATTTGAACGCTTGGCAACTGGTTCATGTTATCAGGGGGGAAATCTAATTATGAGCATAGTGTTCGGAACTAGACTTCCCAAGAGCAGGAAGCAAACTCCTTGTCCCGACAAACCCCCCTTTTATTAATTTACTGTGAATTCTGCTCATTCACATCCAGAAAAGTCTTTTGAGGGAGGATTTACAGTCACAGACCTTATCTGGTTTGGAGAGCTGACAGGCCGATATCCACAAAACTTGGCAAAGAGTCTCGGAGAGTCACGGACCAATTAAGTGAACTGATTGTCTCCTGCAAACTCCACTCCCCTTTCACTCCTCTTTTATTTCCTCTGAGAGGGGCCATTCATCATCCACCTGTGGCCTTACTCCCAAGTAGACCCCTGCTTTTTTGGCTGTTCCCTTCGTCTGGCAACTCTGCGCATGCGCATACTGGGAACAGGCTCCAGCTGTTCTTCTGCCTCACTGATGTCTGACTCTGAAGGCAGCTGATAACTGGCATATGGCCCTGGCTCCCTCTCTGCCTCTGACACAGAGGCCTCATCAGAGCCTTCCCCAGACTCCAAGACTGGCCCATCTTCCTCCCCAGCCTCCTCACTTCTGAATCTGTTGCCAGCTCTGCTGGCGGGCCACAACACATAGCTGCAATTATTATAAATTGAAAAGATAACACACAGCAACCATCTCACTTTAAGATTCAGAGTTTTATTTAAATTTGGAGCATATCAACCAGTGGTGGGTTCAGACCGGCGGCATCCATATGGATGCGCGCAATGCGTATGCACACACACAACGTACACCTGCATCTTATCGCCTCCGCAAGCCTCTGCGACGCTCCAGCTGCTCAGTGGACCGTCGTGTAGGCGCTGTACACGCTGTGCGTGGAAGCACTGAAGACTTAAAAAACATGTAAGGAGCTCAGGCAGGCGGGCCCTTCGGAGCACCATACCAAAACAGTATCCAGTGCTCCGGGCAGGCTCCGGTACCCCCGTACCGGGGCGTACCGCCTGCAACCCACCACTGATATCAACCAATAAACACTTACATCACATTGTAATGAGGGTCAATTAGTCAAGCAGTCAACAACAACAGCTTGAGGCCTTGGCTCCACTCACTGTCCAATATGCTATTATATACCTTAAAACCACAAAGCCCATGACTCTCAAAAATCTGCCACATTGTCCTAGCAACTGAGGTAGTTCTCTCTTCCTCTAGCCACAATGTCACAACGTTGGTATTTTTACCTGTGTTACAACCTTATAATTTCTCTTTTCTCACGATCTCAGCTCACCGCATCATGCAAATTCGGCTAACAACAGTGTTGAGACATGCTTGCAAAATACTATTTCAATACTATTGCAGGTTGCAATTTTTGACAGGCACATTAGTATTTAACACAAGCTTTTACATAGATTAATTTTTAAATAGTTTAATATAATACACCTTGTCCAGAAATAACAGGTCAGGAGGCACCACTCAAGAAGCAAAGGCCTAGATAAGGATTATTTGCCCGCTCAAAATATTTATGATGGTTGCATATCCCGGAATCACGTGATCATTTTTTGTGACCGTCTAATAAGTAAATTCAATCGGAAGCCTGGATTCGCTTAACGGCCATGTTACTAGCTTAACAACCACAGTGATTCCCTTAGCAACAGTGGCAAGAAAGGTTGCAAAATGGGGCAGAACTCAGTTAACAAATGTCTCGCTTAGCAACAGAAATTTGGGGCTCGCTTGTGGTCGTAAGTTGAAGACTACCTGTATTTGATATAACCCGGAAAGGCAGAATTAATGTGAATATAAATACAAATTCTTTTGTTTTCAGGCCAGCCGTTTGACCCATCACTACCCATCATGAGATTAGTTTGCAGTGTGATTTGTACTGTAGCTTTTGGACATCGTTTCTCTATTGACGATAAGGACTTCCTGGAGTTGATGAAAGCCATTTCGATTGCCTTAAAATTTGGAGGCAATCCCTTCTACTTAGTAAGTTGTAGTATCCTTGGCTTTTCCTTCTCCCACTCATCTGAGTTACTTAATTTCCGATTTTCTAGAACAATGGATTGATGGTGCTTAAAAGAAACCCATTTCAGTTAAATATGGGCCATTCTTGAATGATAATAAACAGTAATATTGTACCCTTTGAAGTAAGTTGATCCTTACTTTTGGTTTGATTCAGTGGTGGAATTCAAATAATTTAACAACCGGTTCTCTGCCCTAATGACTATCTGGGTAGGTGGG